AGTGCGATCACTTAATCATGTGACTTCTGCGTGTCAACATAATGATAGGGGTAGTCAAAACTCGTGAAACTGGTCCAAAAAGTGTCCAAGTGTGACATCCAGAAACACTTTGGACACCCCAAAATGTTTCTGGATGTCACACTTATTTTGGACACTTTATGTATTTATAAGATACGGTTATACACTTCAACGCATCAAAACCCACCTCAAGTCCACTGCATCTATTTAATTGGCAAATATGCCCTCTTCCCATCATATTTCCAGGTCTCCTTCGGAATCATCAATCACCGGACAAGCCCCATCAACAGCAGCTCCTGGATATCCTTACACCTTCATCTCACCAACCATCAACCCACACATTTCTCCAGCTTTCCACCCGCATATCTCGCCAACTATTGGCACCCACGTTTGGGGAACTGTGCATCCAACACCCTACCCAACATCAATACCAAGCACGTCTGTCCAAGATTCCCGTCCTGCCACTCAAGAAACTCAAGATAATCAAATGTCTCCATCTGATTCCGATCCCAAGCCTGAGAAAAGGACCCGAAATAAGCGAAATGTCAACACTTCAAATAACAACCGGAAGACATCGAACAACAACCACACTCCTCCTGTTCATCCTCGAACACAGTGGCGTTCAGACCTCAACAAGGACGGAAAGAGTCCTCTTGGTCTCATAGTTGAATGGCTAACGACTCCGTGTGGCGATGGTTTTCGTTTAGACTGGTGGAGGGGTGAAGGTGGAACCATTAAGAAGGGAAAAATTGCTGATGAAGTGTCAAAGTACCTTGCTGATAATGGCTTTCCAAACATACGTTCTTCATCGGTGGAGCAACAAGTTTGTCTAACTTGTTTTTTGGAATTGATTTATTCATGTGTTGATTGATTTCTAACTGATTTCTGTAGATCCGAGATCTTGAAAAAAGTTTTCGTGTAAGGCGGGATTACAGCAAAGGAACAGGTGAAGGAGCCAAAAAAAAACTTATGGAAGATGCGTTGGCTGAGAAGGAGATGAACGGTTACGCATCTGATAGCGAGGCTTGGAAGGAACTGTTATCTTCAGTTGAGGATAGTTTTGAGAGTAAGTTCTCATATGTACATAGGTCTAAGAAATCAACTGATGTTAGCTATGTATCTTTGATCGATTGCCAAAAGAAATCCTCAAGAAAAAATGCCTTTATTACGACGAGATGCTTCCAGCATTTGGACGGCGAAAGGCTAATTCACCAGGTGCCGTACAGGAGTCTAATGATACAATTGATTTAGATGACATATTACCGAATCAATCAACTCAGCAATCATCTTTTGAGACTGAAGATGTTCAAGCTGAAACTCAAGTTAGAACTCCAAACAATCACGATCTTGAACTAATTGGCTCAGATGTTGAAAATATTCTTAAAGGAATTGAGAGTCCCAATTGTGAAAACAAAGTTGATGATGAAGGAAAGAACGAAAATTTAAATGATGGACATCAATCATCAAACTCAACAAAGCAGGATGGCTCGGTTGTTCAGATCAAATCGAAGATACGTGAAGCTCACCCTCGGAAAAGCTCAAACTCTACATCATTGGATCCTACAAACAGTGTATCAAGTAGATCATCAAGAATCAATTCAGGCCCAGCTTCGTCACTTTTGGCTAGTCACTTACCTTCGCGAGAGGAACGCGATGCTGAGTGGGATTTCAAAAAAAAACATATGTTAGCGGAGCAAGAAGCGAGAAGGTCGGAAGTCATCTCATCTAACAAACTCGCGGATGCAATCACCAAATCTTTGAAGCCCGAAATCGATCCAACCAATCAATTGGTCCAGGAGCTACGACTTCGAAAGGAAACTTTTGATTTAAAGAAGGCTGAAATTGAATTCAATGATCAACACTTAGATGAAACCAAGGCACTCAAAAGACGTAGAGAGGAACTTGAATTAGATAAAATTGCGGGAGAACTGAACAGTCAAAAGAAAAAAGAAAAATTCGAAGATATTCAAATGCGAGGACGACTATACAAGGAATACATGGACAACTTCCAAATGAGTTGGAACGAAGCTAAGCAAACGGTGGATGACATGCTTGCGGAACAGAAATAATTAGTGAATCAACAGTAAACTATTGAGTTTATGATCAAGGTCACAGCTCACCCATAAAATTTTTTTAATACATGATTTCTGTCTCGTTTATGTTTTATTTCTGATCTGATACCAAGTGAAAGATCCCCGAAAAAACTCTATATGTCTCTTTTATGTTTGCTTTATGAACGATCGATCAAAATGATCGATCGTTCAAATTTTTAAACTTTTCTTTTTGATGTTTGGTCTCTGTGCTGTTATCAAAATGTTGTTGGTTCAGTTGCTTTTGCTTGTTTATGCCTGATGAAATAAAAAGTTGCTTTTTTGGTTTCGATACGGTCAGGTGCACAAGATGACTTATTTTTTAAGATCGATACAAGGTTAATTATTTTTTAAGATCTATACTGATTTGATTCAGAATCAATCACATTATGTGAGTAAGGACTTCTTTTGAGTTAAAAGGATAACTTGAATCAATGATTCATTTGTTCATTTGTGTATTCAATCAAGCACATACAAATAATTAGAAGAGACATGATTAAGGAAGCTAGACAACATGTCCCATGAGATGACAATACTCAGCAAAAACTTCTTGTCGTAATGAATCATTATTGTCCGCCAATACCTGATCATGAAAAGCGACAAATCTCCTTTGTCGAGATACCTGAATTCCCGTGACAGTTTCTAGAAGTGAGTCTCAATCACTTCTCGTCACAATACCTGAAACACTAACCTGAATTCCCGTGACAGTTTCTAGAAGTGAGTCTCAATCACTTCTCGTCACAATACCTGAAACACTAACCTATAAGGTTTGTTCAGGTCACAATATAAAATAAGGAAAAGGGTCGACGCGATGAGTTCAGTAAGATTCTTTTCCTTTCCGTAAGAAGACGGATAAATTTCACCTGAATTCCCGTGACAGTTTCTAGAAGTGAGTCTCAATCACTTCTCGTCACAATACCTGAAACACTAACCTATATAGAACAAAAGATAGAAATAGACAAGTACAAAAAGGACATTACTTGTTAGATGAAGAGAATAGAAAGAATAGACCAGTTGACTATGTATCTGACCTATAAGGTTTGTTCAGGTCACAATATAAAATAAGGAAAAGGGTCGACGCGATGAGTTCAGTAAGATCTAGCGTTGACAATGATTCAGATGAAAAAGAAAAAGATAACATCATAGTATGATAATTAGTAACAGTCATATTGAAGATCAAACTAATGGAGAGTAGAGACTATTGATGATAATGTAGTGAAGGGGTTGAACTTACTCTTTTCCTTTCCGTAAGAAGACGGATAAAGGAAAAGAGTATTAGCGCGAAAAAGGGGGAGACGCAATTTAAATAGGGATCATTTAAGTTTAAGTCTGATATCTTAAGTTTGAATAAAACTACTGTATTTTAGTATGTAAAGTGATTTGATACTTAGAGTCTTATTCACCTTTCACCACGGCTGAAACCTAGGTACGAGAGACTGAGGTGTCTCTCAACACACCCCCTGTTTCAGCTGTCCATGTATGACTTCTAAGCCAATTTGATGACGCAATTCCTTGAAAGGTCCGGGATGAAGTGGTTTTGTTAATGTATCAGCAAACATGTTCTTTGTACTAATATGCCTAAGCTTGATTAAATTCTTCTCCACTTGTTCTCTTATCCAATGGTACTGCACTTCTATGTGCTTTGTTCTTGCGTGAAAAATAGCTTTCTTGGTCAAGGATACAGCACCTGTACTATCGCTGCATAGAACCGTGGCTTCAGATTGAGGTAGTGAGATGTTTGACAATAATCCTCTAAGCCATACTACTTCTTGGCCAGCCTCTGTTGTAGCTTTGTATTCGGCCTCTGTTGATGATAGAGAAACGGTGGGCTGTAGACGACTTTTCCAACTTACAGCAGCTCCGTTAAGTTTGAATAGATAACCGGTAGTTGATCGTCGTGTGTTCGGATCACCAGCCCAATCTGAATCAGTGTGGCATTCAGGATAGCACCAGCTCTGATTCCCTTTGATAACATTGTCTTGAGGTGAATAATGTAGTCCTAAGCATTGAGTACCTTTCAAATATCGAAGTACGTGTAATCCCATCTGCCAGGCTATAGTTGAAGGTCGTGAAAGATGTTGAGACAGAGCACCTACGGCATAAGCAATATCCGGCCTTGTACCCTGAGCAATGTACATTAGGCTACCTACCAAGCTGTTATACGGAAGGTTAGATTGTTTGAATTCAATAACGTCAGAGTCGGTGGCTTTCATGATCTTTGTGCCGCCTGGAAAAGGAGTCGAAGCTGGTTTGCTATCTTCAGCATGAAATCTTTCCAGTACCGTCTGGATGAAAGCTGATTGACTCAAAGCATAACCCCCATTGTCTGTGGAGTAGATCTCAATACCAACAACACA